TGGTTTATATTGCTTTTGAATATGTTAAGCTACCCTAATGCAATGAGAGGGATGATTGATTATATTTATTTATTGATAATAAATTACAGATTATCTATCAATTAATACATTAAGTGCTTATGAAGAAAGAGGCAATGAGTACCTCTTTTTGCTATGGTATGAAAAGAAGATAATATATTTTTTTATTCAGTTAAAGTAGATAGTTTGGGTGCACTAGTATAAAGTAGGGTTGCCCTAATAGTTGTAACCGTTGGGGGCAAATTATGACCTTAACAATCAGAACCGTTGGTGCTGCAAAAAAGACCATTGGGGAAAATCGCGTTGGTGTTAAATCAGCCCCAATAGTTGCCAACTTTGCTCCAACGTTCCTAACAAAAAAAAAATTTCCCCAGTAGTTAGAACTGTTGGGGCTAATATTTGCCCAACGGTTTCGACCGTTGGGCCGTTAGACAAATCAAATAGAAAAAAATCAGCCAAAAATATTATGCACAAATACTCAAGACCTGTGTAGAGATGATATCATACAACAAATTACACTCCACAAACATATAGAAATCAGAATTGAAAAATCTACCAATTATCTAATTCTAAATATTCTTCGTGATTCTTGTCGGGAGTATTTGATTATAACATCATCTTGAGTTGTCTTCCATATGAGTTTGAGAGGCATGTCAATATGCTCGTCATTGAAATTGACATGAAATGTCTCCAACATAGGTCCCATTATATCCGGAAAGCCACACTAAATGTGTGTTAGATATAGGTGCCCTGCATGCAATAATTGTATATTGTAATAGGACCTATATGAATATAACATCCTTGTTTAAAATGATAGTATGCTATTTTGGTCAGTATTTATCTGGTGTTTTTTAAAATATAGATATAATTCTTAGAATGATACTAGACTATCAAACATTTTGGATATAATCGTAATGAAGAGATCTGATTTGTCATTAACGTATATTCTTAAATGTTCCTAGTCGATGAAGTGTTGAAATGAGACATCATCACTTTGGAAAGACTAGTGTATACTCTATTTCTCCTTTGGTAGGATGATGATCCATCTCTTGGATCATTGATGTGAGACATCATGATATAGTATACAGGTGACTCATTAGTGAATGAGTTGACTGAACGACTCATTGAGAACATCTAGTTGGTAATTATACTTAACTGTCAAATAGAAGTTCTCAAGTGATATAGTATATAGTAGTCTCTTGACCTGAGGCATGTGTGTAATATCTTACATGTCAGTATAGGTGTACTTAGACTTTTACCTAACCACAGTTCTCAATGAGTTGTGCATAACGGTTCTTTTTGGGTGCATCCCGAGACATAAGTAGATATTGAGATGCCAAGATGGGATTCGTCTCTCCCAGTATAGGGGGTTGATGTCATAAGATTGTTTGATATAACTATAGTCAGGAAGTCCTTGACCGAGGTAAATAAGATAAACTGAGTGTTAGTTTGATCTTATAGGTTATGAGTTTAATATCACCAAATACTAATCGAGCTATTAGGGTTTGACAGTTTTCCATAGCCTAGGTTTGATAGTTTGCCATGGTTTGACAAAGAGACCGGACTATACAATATTATCCCTGAGTGGTCCTGATAAAATTGTGTTAGTATCTTACAGACATTTATCACAACTTATATCCGGGTAGTCTTCATGTGTAGCTAGCACCTCTGTTGTACTTGTGGATATCATCTACTACCGAGTTCTCAAGTTAGGCCCTAGATTCACACCAAGCACGTACTTGAATCCTATAAAACACAATTTATAGAGTGATGCGTATGATTGATACGCATATATGATTTTACCGGATACACATAAACGGTTATGTATATTGGTATTTTTATTGATGAAAAATTATGAAATACCGTATTTATGAAATACTGTATTGATGTGGTATTTTTATTTATGAAATACACACTTTATTATACCTTGATTAATGAGTCATGAGATGAGTCATTAAGGTGGTATGGTTTGGGAACATGGTTTTAGCATATAGTTTTGATTCTTCATGACTCTTTGCATGACTCATGAGATGAGTCATTGCATGACTCATGAAAGGAATCATTACATTTAGATGACTCATGGCATGACTCATGAGATGAGTCATGACATATTTCACTCTATATATATGAGCTCACTTTCTTATGGAAAGGTTAATGAAAAATTGGCTAGGTGATTTTTTCCATAAGAGAATAAAAGAGAGCTCTCCTCTTACAAAACTCTAGCAATCTTTGAGCAAGAGGAAATAGTAGGATTTTATAGTACCTCGGGGTAGATATCTTGCCTTGTGTCTCAAGAAGACTCCGATTTTATCAAGCTCACTTGAAGACTTGGAGATCCATTACGAGGAGATAACTGCTACAAGAAGCAAGAGCTAGGAGTTATTCGATCTTCCATCGAATCACGCTTTGAAAGTATGACTTTCTAACTCTTGTGTGCTCTCTTTAATATAGGGATCATGTTAGATTTAATTAGGATGGTCCTATTTTGTATTTCATGCTCTCTACATGCTTAGTATAATTATACATATAGTCTTCCGTTGCGTAATTTGCATGTAATTAGCATGAATTTCCTTCATGGTATCAGAGACATGGTTCCATCTAATTAAATCTTAACATGAATATCTAACTCATAGAGGTCTTTGTACTTGCTTCTAATTACTAGTTTAATTAAAAGATATTTTAATGAAACTAGTTAATTTAATCAAGTTGTTTTGTCATTAGTTATACTAGTTGTTGATTCAAAAATGTGATTTTTGGTTCATAAGTTTTTAGGAGTAAAAACACTTGTATAAATTATAAAACACTTTTTTTACAACTAGTGTAGTTGTATGTTAGAAGCATGATAGTCCTATTTGAGTTAGGGTAATCCCTATATTATCTAGTTTTCCAATTTGTTGCATAACTAGATAGATGTATATTTCTTAATATTGATTAAGTTATATGTTTTATATCATCTTGCGTGGATGTTATGTTTATGGATGGTAGTGGACAATGATTCTCTTGTATTTATTGTATTGATGTAATATAGCTAGAAATGTAATATTATTTTTGACCTCTTCCCTCCTCGAGCATGGGCTATGCCTATGGGTTTAGGCACTTGCTCACCGATCATGGGCTTCGCCTACGGGTATAGGCCATTGTTCGGGTGGAGGGGGGGATATGGTTGTTTAGTTTAGTTATTTTATTTATGGTTTTTATTTTACATTCAATGCAATATTATTACCCATCCTATGAGATGGTTTTTCCATTATAAATGGGGCTTGCACGTCCTATGTATATGTGATTGTAATAATACAGGATTTGCAAGGGAGCTAGCACTGTAAGGAGTTACAAATTGCTTGCTAAAATGTAATTAGTGTTGTTGTATTTTATTCCTTTAGTTGTCTAGCTACTACCATTCTATATTGCTATTACATATGTTGGTTGTGCCCCAATTGTAGATGTCAATACAATTGGGTGCTATATTCTGTAAAGTTTATATCTCTATCTCACTAGAGAATAGTTTTTATTATAAAAAACTTATTTTTAAACTTTGTGAGACATGGCAATAAGAGTTTATTGACCATAGAGTGGTGAGACCGACATTAACATAGCGTTAGTGTGAAAGATAAATAAACCTAAAGCAGTTAAAAGGGATGTATTTAGAATAAACTTTTAACTAGTGTTTAGGAAAGTAATTATGAGATATAGCTCATGGGGTGATGCCCAACTTAAGATTAGGGGTGATGCCCAATCTTTCATGCTATAGTCTTAAAGAGCGGTGGTTACTTAATTAAGGTCCGATGAATATTCCCGGTGAATATCTCGGAACCCTCCCACCAATCTTGTACTTACCTGGCTAGTTTAATTGTTACAAGTATAAATATAGAGCATCTTTAAACTATATCAAGTTTGATTACGGTAAAAGATTTATGAAATCGTCCGTAGCCCTCCATCATTTCAGTTGAATACTACTAAGCTTAAAAATACTTTGTTTGTTGGCTATCGTCAAGGTAATACAATTCTATGGCTAAGTAGTATTCATCTGTATATAAGATATAATGATAGCTTAAGTTGGTTATGCAACTTTGTTGGCCTTCGTCAAGAGTATGCATAAGTTAAATTTAAGCCGATCAAGAAATGATGGGTCCAAACTTAACTAGCATTTTATGATTTGTTGGTCATCGTCAAGGTCATAAAAGACTAGGGGCAAAATCATATCAAGAATTACAAGAATGTAAAAGACAAAAATTGTCTATTAATTATTGAGTATATCGATTTGTTGGTCATCGTCTAGGTTGATACATTCAATGATAATTGGATCTTGATCCTACTTGAAAATAAGGGGTTGTTTTCCGACCACCTCTTATAAAGGTTTTGAGGGACTCGAAAAATAGTGAGAGGCATAACTTAGATAAAAATGAACCAAATCTATTTTATGTATTGAACATTTGCTAAAATATTTTTTCACTCTCTTTCATGCCATTATGTCTGGCTTAAAACTCATACTAGAACAGAACAAGTTAATCGGTCCTAACTACAAAGACTGGTTGAGGAATGTTAAAATTACCCTAACTTATGACAAAGTAGCATATGTCCTCACAACGCCGGAACCTGTTCTAGACCCAGAACCCACTGTAGCAGATAATGAAATCCGCATAAAGTAAGATAGAGATTGTTCACTTACTCAATATCTCACAATTGCCTCTATAGATTTGGTCCATCAGAGGCAACATGAGAATATGGATATCAGATCCATATTTCGTAATACAGAAGAACTGTATGGCGAGCAACCATGACAAATGAAGTACGCGGCGTCTAGGAATTTGTTCCAGACAAAAATGACTATGGGATCTTCTGTTGGGGACCACGTCCTCAAAATGATCGCCTATGTCAATGAGCTTGAACTTTTGAACGCAGGCCTAGATGCAGATAGATATACAGATATCGTTCTGTAGTCCTTGACACCAGCCTACTCCCGATTCATATCACAGTTTTTGATGATGGATCTGAAGCCCACTCTTCTTGTCCTGCTTAATTTGTTAAGACAGGAGGAGAGTTCTATGAAAAAGGGACAAACACCAGCCTTGGTTATAGGGAAATCTTCTTCCACTTCTAGCAATCTGGTTGCCAAGAAAAAGGGAATGAAAAAAACTACTACACCAAAGAAAGGTGTTAAGAAGGCTGTCAAGAAGGACAAAGGAAAGGTAAAAATGACGACTGCAGAATGCTTCCATTGTCACAAGTCAGGACACTGGAAAAGAAACTGTCATGAATTCCTAGCCTCACTCAACAAGAAGAAGCAAGTTGTTGCTTCATCTTCAGGTGCGTTGGTTACTCAGAATTGTTTTTCTATAAATCCTACATGTTAGGTATTAGATATCGGATCAGGATCTCACATCTGTAATTTATTACAGGGGCTGAGAAGTTATAGAAAGCTTGATGCTGGAGAGATGACCCTACAAGTTGGTAATGGTGTAATAGTTGCAGCAGTTGTAGTTGGGGATTTTCATCTAGATTTACCAAATGGAAACATTTTGATTTTGAATAGTTGCTATTTTGTACCAACTATGATGTGTAATATAATATACATATCTTTATTAGATAAAGATGGATATATGTTCAAGTTAGAGAACAATGTTATGAATATCATATATAATCAAAAGTTGATTGCTTATGGAACATTGTGTAATGGCATCTATATTCTTAATCAAAACACAATTCTGAATACTCATCACACTAATAAAAGAAAGCACTCAGTTATGAACGACGCTTTCTTATGGCATTGTAGACTTGGTCATATTAATAAAGAAAGACTTGGCGAGCTACATAAGCATGGATATTTAGATCCATTTGACTTTTAAGTCTTATGATACTTGCAAGTCTTGTCTTAAAGGCAAAATGACCAAGAATCCATTTACGGGAACTAGAGCAAGAGTTACAGAACTCTTAGGACTGATGTATGTGGTCATATGTCTACAATGACCAGAGGTGGCTACTCTTACTTTATTACTTTTACTGATTATTTTTTAAGATTTGGACATGTGTTTTTGATAAAACACAAGTCTAAAGCATTTGAGAAATTTATCGAGTATAAAAATGAAGTAGAGAACCAAACGAGCAAGAAAGTTAAAATTCTTCGATCGGATCGAGGAGGTGAATACTTAAGCTCGGAATTCTTTGGTTTTTTAAAAGAGAATGGGATTCTCTCTCAGGTTACTCCACCCTTTACACCATAGCTTAACGGCGTGTCAAAAAGAAGGAATCATACCCTATTAGATATGGTACGTTTCATGATGAGTAACACTGAGTTACCTTTTTTATTCTAGGGGTATGCGTTGGAAACAGCAGCACACTTACTGAATAGGGTTCCAACTAAAGCAGTGCCTAAACCTCCATATGAGATATGGTATGGGATAAAACCATATCTTAATTATATTAAGATTTGGGGATGTCATGCTTATGTAAAAAAGCAAGATCCCAAAAAGTTAGAGGCACGCTCAGTATTGTGTAAATTTGTAGGATATCCAAGGAATTCCCATGGATATCAATTCTATCATATCGATGAATAAAAGATAATTGTTTCTCGGTATGCTACCTTCTTAGAGAAGGAATTTCTTAAAAAAGAAAGTAATGGGAGTATGGTAGAACTGGAAGAAATTTCAGAGATACAAATCAATACTGATAATTTAGTAGAACCAGAAAATTCAGTTGTACCAGAAGAACCTCAACCACTCCGTAGATATCCAAGGCGATCTCATGCACCTAAGAGACAATATGATTTTCTCATTGAAGGTAGCATGTTAAATCACGTCATAGATGATGATGAACCTTTGAGTTATCAGCAAGCCTCTCGGAGTAGGGACTCTATTGCTTGGCATGATGCAATGAAATCCGAAATAGACTCTATGTACACCAACAAAGTATGGATCTTAGACAATGCTCCTAAAGGGGTGATACCCATAGGCTGCAAATGGTTGTTTAAGAAAAAGATGGGTGTAGATGGGAAAATAAAGACTTTTAAAGCTAGACTGGTAGCTAAAGGTTTTTTGTCAAAGACCTGGTTTGGACTACGATGAAACCTTTTCTCCGGTGGATATGCTAAAATCTATTCGGATCCTACTTGCTATAGCTGCTCACTATGACTACGAGATCTGGCAAATGGATGTCAAAACTGCATTTCTAAATGGTGATTTAGAAGAGTGCATATATATGTCTCAACCAGAGGGATTTGTAGTCAGTGGGAGTAGTGGAAAAGCATGTAGGTTGCTTAAATCCATTTATGGACTGAAGCAAGCATCACAGAGATGGAACATCTGTTTTGATGATGCTATCAAAGAGTTTGGTTTCATCAAAAATCCAGATGAACCATGTGTGTATAAAATGATAATTAGGAGTATAGTATCGTTTCTTATTTTGTATGTAGACGATATACTCTTAATCGGTAATGACATACTGTCATTACAAGTGGTTAAAATTTGGCTATCAAAAAGATTTTCCATGAAAGATTTGGGTGAAGCATCCTATATACTGAGTATTCAGATCTATAGAAATAGATCTAAAAGGATATTAGGATTATCTCAATCTAGATACATTGGTAAAGTGCTAAAACGGTTTAGCATGGAAAATTCCAAGAAAGGTTTCGTACCTACATCTCTTGGAATCTCCCTCTCTAAAAAGTTGTCTCCCCAGACTGATGAAGAGAGGAAACGCATGAGTCTAATTCCTTATGCCTCGACAGTAGGATCGATCATGTATGTCATGTTATGTACTAGATCGGATATCACTTATTCACTCAGTTTGGTAAGTAGATACCAATCTAATCATGGAGAAGAGCATTGGAAAGCGGTCAAAAATATACTTAAGTACCTGAAAAGTACTAAAGAGTTATTTTTGATATATGGTAAAAGTGACCTCCAAATGGAGGCTTTTTCACTAAAGAGTTATTTTTGATATATGGTAAAAGTGACCTCCAAATGGAGGCTTTTTTCGACTCTAGCTTTCAGAGCGATATCGATGATAGTAAATGGTAAAAGTGACCTCCAAATGGAGGCTTTTTTCGACTCTAGCTTTCAGAGCGATATCGATGATAGTAAATTTGTTTCAGTATATATTTTTACCTTCAATAGAGGGGCTGTCAGTTGGAAAAGTTCCAAGTAGGACACAGTCGTAGATTCTATTATGGAAGCCGAATACATTGCGGCAAATAATGCAGCCAAAGAAGCTGTCTGGATGAGGAAGTTCCTTTCAGAGCTGGAAGTTATTCCCACCATTAAAGATCCAGTACCTTTATACTGTGATAATAATGCTGCAATAGCTCTGACAAAGGAACCCGGTCTCACCATAAGTCCAGACACATTCTGAGGAAGTATCACTTGATCAGGGAGATAGTTGATCGCCAAGAGATCAAGATTGAAAGAGTAGACACAAAAGATAATATAGCAGATCCATTCACAAAGGCAATTGCTCGTACACAATTTGAAAAACTTGTTGAGCTATTGGGTATTAGATACTACAATGATTGACCTTAGTGTAAGTGGGAGTTTGTTAGATATAGGTGCCCTGCAGGTAATAATTATATATTATAACAGGACCTATATGAATATAGCATCCTTGTTCAAAATGATAGTATGCTATTTTGGTCAGTATTTATCTGGTGTTTTTTAAAATACAGATATAGTCCTTAAAATGATACTAGACTATCAGACATTTCGGATATAATCATAATGAAGAGATCTGATTTGTCGTTAACGTATATTCTTAAATATTCCTAGTCGATGAAGTATTGAAATGAGACATCATCACTTTGGGAAGACTAGTGTATACTCTATTTCTCCTTTAGTAGAATGATGATCCATCTCTTGGATTATTGATGTGAGACATCATGATATAGTATACAGGTGACTCATTAGTGAATGAGTTGACTGAACGACTCACTGAGAACATCTAGTTGGTAATTATACTTAACTGTCAAATAGAAGTTCTCAAGTGATATAGTACATAGTAGTCTCTTTGTTAGACCCTAGAGGGGGGGTGATTAGGGTCTTATGCTAATCTAATCCGATTATATGCCAATTAAAATATATTAAACAAGTTATCCTAGCAAGTATGAAATTCAACAATGTATATGAGCTAGGATAAGTAATATGAACAACAAGATATATCCTAACAAAGAGATATAGGCAATGTATGTGCAAGGATATATAAACAACACAAGGGTAGATAATCTAAACAAGATAGTGGATGAAAGAGGGCGATATAAGATATGAACATAAAAATAAGTACGCCAATGCAATCACAAACAAACGATATGATCACGGAGTTCGGTCTAACCACTTGACCTACGTCTCCGCTCCTCACCTCGAGGAGATCTCCACTATCACAACCGGGTTTTCTACGTTCACCCGAACAACGTTTACACCTCACAATACAATCACTATGCAATCACACCTCACACACTAAGTGTTGGTCCTAGCCCGTGTCCTCCTCCTCAAGTGCTCGGTTACAACCTCTCCCTAGGCACGTCAACCGACGCCACTCCTCTTGGATTCGACCCCGTCTCTCACCACACACTTCTCTCGGTGTACAAGTGTATTACAAGTGAATCCTAACAATTAGGTTCAATACAAAGTGTTTGTTCTCTACAATGAATGAGAACGAATTATAAGCTCACTCTCTAAGTTACACAATCCCATAACCCAATTATACTATGAATGTAAATACAATAAGCTCAATGGTTGTGTGTGTACAAAGAGATAAATAAAATCAATTAAACTAAAACTCAATATAAATCTAGCTTATGGAAATGATAATCAAGATAATAATTGCTAGATGAGTTTAGAAACACTTCTCTAAAGATGACAAGAGAGTGGGAGAAGAGTGAATGCTCAAACACCAAAGGATGATCTCCACTTTCTCTTGTGAAATTTGCTTCACAAACAAAACTCTTAAACACTCTTTTAAATAACTTAAACTTGTTTAAACAATTCTCTTAGTTAGGTTGAAAGAGAACAGCAATAGGATATTTATACCCACTCAAAAACTCAGCCAAAACCCCTAACAAAAGACAAAAACAGCCCCAGCAAACAGCTCAGAAAAATAGCCGTTGGAAGCCAACGGATACATTGGCGGTCGACCGGAAATTCTGTCGGTCGACCGACGGAGAACAAAAACACGAAGGACTGTTCTGGACCATCGTCGGTCGACCGGAATGATTGTAGACATGATAATAAACATGCTACAGTACTGGTTATCAGAAAGGACCTCCCAAATGAAAAATATCATCATTTTACAAACTAGTCCAAAACATGAAAATATGAGATACTTGAATGTTGATGTTTTGACATAAACCAACTTTTGGAACTTTGTGAAATGTTTTTATAGACTTAGTAAAACATGTATAAACTGATATTGAAGTCTACAAACTAAGAATACAATTTTTTCACAAAATTGCATATCTTATGCAATGTTTTCAAAAACACAATAGAAAATATAAATATATAATTGCATATCTATAAACATGAAAAACCAAAACATATGCATGTATATATATAACTATATATATATACAAACCAAAACTTGTGTATATATATATAACTATATATATATACAAAGAAACCAATAAATGCGTGTGTGTAGATGATTGAGCTTAGAGTATTAAACACATATAATATAACACCTAAACTAAAGTTACCCAAGCAATGATCTTGATCTTCATTGTAGCTCAACTTGGTACACGTTGCGGATGAAGCTAAACTTGAATCTTGAACTTGAATTGTACGATGCTTCACTCCATAATTCCGCTAACCTCCTCTTGATATGATCGTGTAGGCTTAATCCATCCAACCTCCAACAACGTTGTTTGTCTACAATATATAGGAAAACACAAATACTAGACAAACAACATTAGTGGTAAATTGTTTGTTAAACATCATCAAAACAAAGAGGTCAACAATCTCCCCCTTTTTTATGATGACAAACAATTTACAAAATGTATATATGCATGAAAGGAAATGAATATACAAAGTATAATATATCATGCATATAAACAAGAAGGACTATACTCATAATATTTCTCCCCCTTTGACAACATCAAAAAGGGGACAAAAAGAATAAGAGAGCGAAAGCTCCCCCTATCAATGAGCATAGGTGAGTATATAAAAAATATATATAGGGATTTGCTCCCCCTATCAAACTGCCATATAGAATATACGAAATGAAGATCATGGCAAACATATGTGAGCAAGCATAGATGAATATGCTAAGCACTCCTCACATACGAAAAAGATAATGAGAACACATATGAATATATCAATGTGAAAGAAGTATCTCATTAGCACAAAAAATATAGAAACCTTATAAAAGAAT